TTAGGAATTGGTAGCCCCTCTCCATGAGGAACATGGACGTATTGCCGATGGAATATTTGGATAGTGCACAGATAACTTTTTCTTCTTATTTAGCCCTTTTACAATTGGAGGCACCATACAAAAGTAACAATTACTAACATGATCTGTTGGCTCTCTCCAAATCATTGGCACAGCGAAAGGCATAGATGCCTTTTTTCCATTCAACCATTGCTCCAGTGCCGTCCCACAAGAATTGCAGCATATATGTGGTGCCCAGCTCTTGTCCTGGTCTCCTATCTTGCAGCCAAAATACAAGCTGTAGCTTTCTTAATCATTCCTGTTATCCTCCTTTTTTGTGAGATAAAAGTTATTTCACCGCAGATATAGCAGAAATTATCTGCTTTATTCACACAAGTTCGAGGCATTACTGAGTAGCCTATATAAGAATAAAACGAAATGTAAAGACGCTGTCGAACTACAATCATTTCCCCGCCGCCGGCGGACGCGGCGCGCCCGTAAACGATCCCGACGTCACAGGAGACAGGACACAGAAGCCTGAAGCCTGCATCGCCGGAAGAGATGGCCGGTTGGACGCTGCAGGGGACACATTCGCCTATTGGTCACCAGTATCAATTTGGCAATATGCAGCTGAAGTTGCATCATAATTTTGAATGGCTTACGTCATTAGATGGGTGAATATATCATGGAAACTAGAGCCAATCAACATTTTTTAGGGTCATTTTCGTTTTCAGCACCCCAAAATTATGTAAGATTAGCTAATTTTATGCCCAAAACTTTTTACCTGTTGAACAGTGAGAATCGATATTGATGTGCATGTATCACAAGCAATTAACATTAAAAAAAAATTATTTTCACCTTTTTTTATATCTGTTGTTACAGCTGAGTGGCGCTGATCTACTGCAGTCTCTTTGCAGCCATCTCCTGTCTACATGCACTCCGATGGCTGCATGACATTTGTCAGACTGAGTTTCCTGATGTGTGTGACAACAGTGGACCAACCCTGAGTAATATCTGTTGAAGTGGCCACTGTTGTCTCCTTCAGAAGCTTGTGTACCAAGGTGACAATGCAGTGTTATCACTTTTATGTGTCCATGCCTACGAGAGGGGGCTTAAAGGGGGGGTGTTCGTATCATTTTTTGTCCGGTCACAGGCTGTGGAGTCCAGTCCGGTCAACTCGCCATGTTTGGAGGAGGAGGAATGCTACCTATGACCCCAAGAACACCATCTCAACTGTCAAACATGGTGGTGGAAACATTCTGCTTTGGGGATGTTTTTCTGCTAAGGGGACAAGACAACTGCAAAGGGACAATGGAAGGGGCAATGTACCATCAAATCTTGTGTGAGAACCTTCTTCCCTCAGCCAGGGCATTGAAGATGGGTGTTCCAGCATGACAATGACCCAAAACACAAGGCCAAGGCAACAAAGGAGTGGCTCAAGAAGCACATTAAGGTCCTGGAGTGGCCTAGCCAGTCTCCAGGCCTTAATCCGATTGAAAATCTGTGGAGGGAGCTGAAAGTTCGAGTTGACAAACCTCAGCCACCAAACCTTAATGACTTGGAGAGGATCTTCCAAGAGGAGTGGGCCAAAATCCCTCCTGAGATGTGTGCAAGCCTGGTGGTCAACTACAAGAAACGTCTGATCTCTGTGATTGCCAACAAGGGATTTGTCACCAAGTACTAAGTCATGTTTTGTGAAGGGGATCAAATACTTATTTCCCTCATGAACATGCAAATCAGTGCATCATTTGTTAGACATGCATTTCTTTTGAATTGTTTGTTGCTATTCTGTCTCTCAGTGTTACAATACACCTACCATTCGATTTTTAGACTGAGCATTTCTTTGTGAGTGGGCAAACATTCAAAATCAGCAGGGGATCAAATACTTATTTCCTTCACTGTATGTTCTGACAGTCTGACAGGGGGACTGTTCCCCTGACAGAACACACCAGTCAGTGCTCCTAGTCATTTGCTACCGGCACTGATTGGATGCTGATTTTCCAGCATGCCCCTTCAGTCAGCTTCTGTCGGACAGGCTAGCGTACACACGGGCCAAATGTTTTCTGATTTTTAGTGAACCGGCCGAAACTCGGGGATTAAAGATAAAATCACTCATTCGGCCACTCAAACCCGTACACTCTCTCTCTCCTAATCATTTAGGATAAAGATAAAGCAAAAGAATTAGGAAAACAGTCTACAAGTTAAGTATTTTTAATATTGCATATCAATGAATAGTGTACATTGTTCTTTACTGCAACAGAAAATATTAAAGTTATGTCCCGCACAATTTCCTTGCAGTGATATACAATACTGGTATTCCATTTCAGTCTTTATACATGTATTTTATACAGTCTTTTTCATAACACAAAATGCAGACAATGATCAAAAGAAATCTCAATATTTGCAGATATTTATGTTCACATTTTGCAAGTTCAGAGTTTTATATTTCCTGTATTTATGTGGCTGCGCTATACCAGACAGTGCTTTAGACAGTACAACAGAGGAGCTTGAAATGAAATGTCCATAACTCACTCATGTAAGTAAACAGACATACAAAGGGGGAGAATTACAAAAACTGGCGCATTCAGAATCTGGTGCACTGTGCCCATTCGGCTTCTAACTTCAGCTTGTTCTATTAAGCTTTGACAATAAATCCTGGAAGCTGATTTCTATGCACAGCTGCACCAGATTTTGCATGCTCCAGTTTTAGTAAATCTCTCCCATAGTCTAATGCCTATTTGGTCAGAACCTGATTAACCAACTAGTTTGGATGGTGGGAAGAAAACAGAGCTCTCAGAGGAGTCAAGCATAAGTGCTGGGTTCAGTTTTAAAGTGTTACTAATCCCAGGACCCTGCATTCACTATATCTGATTTCCCACAGTACACAGAAATGCAATTATTTTAGTAAATGTGAACCACGAAATACCTTTTCTAATCAGCAGTTATAGCAGTCTTGTGACTTCTGTCAGTGTTCAGCAGAGCACTGGTTAAAGCTTGTTTAAAGCTTGTAGAAAGGTTTTCATTCTCCTCTGACTGTACTATAAGGCTGCATGGCCCCTGACCCTCTGTTTGGACAGTACTGATCACATGCATCCCCCCCATCCCAAAAAACTCTCTGTACATGCTCAGTTTGCTGTGTATTGCTACAGTGCCTCCTAGGGCTCCATACTATCAGCAAATGGATTGGGAAAAGTAGAGGAAAGAGAGGATCAGAGAACACAGGATCAAACAGCCTTTTTACAAAGTGCTGAGGATTAACCCCTTAGGTTCCACAGTGAGTATAACAAGCATGCTTTATTGTATATACAGACCGATTTTACTGTTGAGGGTTTAGTAACACGTTAAAGAGGAACTGGAAGCTCTGCCCAAAATAGGGTAAGCAAAAGGCAACGGTCTACTCACCAGTACTGCCTGTGGTTTCCCTGCAACGGATCTTTCCCCATTACTGACTTCCCTTGGTTTGTTCTGCGCTGTCTCTCTATGTGGAGGCAGCCTTCTTGACAGATGAAGAGCTTTGCTTCCTCATGTCAGAGCCTCCAGCAAAGAGAACAGTGAGCAGGACAAAAATTACATCACCAAATCTCACGCCAAACCTACTAATACTCCTGGAGCTTTGTAAAACTGTCAGATGTGAATTAAAAAGATATGTCCACAGGTGGCATGCACCTCATTAGACTTAAAGTACTACTAAACCCAGGACCCCACATACACTATATCTGGTCTCCCACAGTACACAGAGCATGGAAATGCAATTATTTTAGAAAATATAAACTGCTAAATACCTTTTTCATTAGCAGTTAGAGCAGTCTTGTGACTTCTATCAGTGTTCAGGAGAGCACGGATTAAAGCTTGTAGGAGGAGTTGTCATTCTTCCCTAATTGTCGTATGAGGCCGCAGGACCCGACCCTCTGTCTGGACAGTGCTGAAAAAAACACTCTAGCAATACACACCAAACTGAGCATGTGCAGCTTGCCCACAAGGCTCTGTTCTATCAGGAGATGGATTGGGGACAGTAGAAGGGGCGGCGGATCAGAGAAGACAGGATCAAACAGTCTTTATAGACAATGTGGATTAACCCCTTAGGTTCCACAATGAGTATAACAAGCATGCTTTAATGCACATACAGACTGATTTTACGGTTGTGGGTTTAGTAACACTTTAAAGGATAAGTTCACCTTTCTAACATGTTATACCCGTATTCAGGGTGTAACATTTAACATGTTACTACTGCAGCTGCTTCCACGCACTCAAGTCCCCACTGTGACAGCAGACCGGGGATCTTCTCCCCGTGTCTGCTGCCACAATTAAAAAAGACATGTCCGCCTGGCCGCATCACTCATTCACAGTATTTGGTGAATGGGAGATTACAACTACCGACAGTCCTTGCAGCAGTCGGGTTGTAGTTCTCACCACGGGGCTGTTGAGCGCTCTGATAGTTTATTGATTTTTCGTGTCAGTGTGTAACTGACTGCTCATACAAGGAGGTCCAAGCAGACAACTTACACACACAGTCTGTGGATCAGCAGATCGTGGATGCAATGCTTTACATGCTCCCAATAATAAATAAATAAATAATAAAAGCGCTTTTTTTTTTTTACCTGCAAAAAGATGTGCATTTATTTATTTTTGAAAAGGTGAACTCATCCATTAACTCCTAGTATGTCAGCACATATTACAAAGTGGTTGAATTCCTGAATTTCAGCTTTATTGATTAGTTTAGGAGGTTGGTTAAGGGTTTCAGAGTTTAGGTGAGGGTAGGCTTCAGTGCTAGGATAAACCTAAGATTTGAATTAGGGTTGGGGAGCTTTTGGAAGGCATTTTCATTTTTTTTTGTGCCAAATACTAGCAGATACCAGTTTCTTGGGGACAGTAATTCTACAACCTCTGATGTCCATAAGGTGGCCAGTGTGCTGGAACTTGTAAACAGAGAATCAGGACAGCATTCCAGAATAAGGGTCACGTTGGAAAGAACACCGCCAATCCAAAATGCAGTCTTGTTTGTTTCAGCGTTTTGAGGTTAAGGTGAGTGTTGAGGAGACACGAAAGATCTGTGGGAGCATATTGCTCAGCTGATAAAACATTTCCTCCGAGATATTCTGTGAAGATAAAGTGACATCATTCATGTGTTTAGCAGGATGCTTCAAGATCTAAGAATCGTTTTCTAGTTTTGTTTCAATTGGGGGAGCTTTAGAATCTGCCTGGTTTTTATTTCTGTCTGTGTCCCTGTCTGAAAGATCAATTCTTACTTTTTATGCTGATGATTGTCACCAGGACCAAGGGATTTCACAATCTCCCAATGGGTACACCTGTCCTGGGGAAAAGTAGGCTTTTTACTTCCTGTTATGTCCTGAGGACAGGGAGTGCAGGTGAACCTCCCTAACAGGAAGAGAGACAGCAGAAAAAAAAATATTAAAAGATGCACATAGGATGTTCTGGATCCAAAAGCAATAGACTCTGGCAAGGCAACTCTGAAAGCATACAAGAGCTACCAAAAGGTGCCTTCACGGGAATCAAAGAAGTGTAGAAAAAGCATGAGTTCTACGCCAATGGTTTAAGAGACCAAAAAGATCATTTATCTTAAAATGTCCACAAATGCAATCCAACATGTTTCAGGGGTTATCCTTTATCACCCTTAATGCCTACTTTCCAGGGAGCCCACATAGCAGGATTCCAATGTAAGCGGCTACTCATAGTTCATGTTTTGCGACATGTGCATGCACTTTCATTGTGAATAGTAGTGCCAAGTGGGATATTTAAAGCTGAGACCTGCAAATCACCAGTGTGGAGATCTTCAGCTGTACTTCTGTGACATTCTGCACTCCAACCTAGCTTGTTCTGACTCTTCTGTGGTTCTCCTCTATCTGCTTACCTGCTCCTGTATTGGCCATGGATTATTTATTTATTTCAGGTACTTGTATAGCGCCGTCAATTTAGGCAGCGCTTTACATATCTATTGTACATTTACATCAGTCCCTAACCCTCAAGTTATTACCCAACTGTCACTCTGGTACTTAAATGCTTGCAAATTGTTGACCCCATCCTGTCCTTAAAGTATACCTAAAGACAAAACATTTTTTTTTACCTTTGGAGAGAGTGGAGATGGATTAGAACACCTGTCAGTTTTTATTGCTGTCTGTGCCCCCAGAAAAGTAATAGAAAGGAAATCTTCCAATGGGGATACTAGTTCTAGTGATCTGGGAGTCCCCAAGGGATTCCCTTAATGTGCAGGATTATCCCTGTTTTGGCTATGGACAGAAAGTGAAGGTAAATCTCCCCAATGGGACACAGATTGCAAAAAATAAACTGACGGGTTATGACCCTTCCTTACTCTATCCAAAAATGCTGACCAACATGGTCCTATCCTCTTCTCATGGTTGACCCCCAATTTCTGTGATTTCCAGATACTTGACAACGGCACACACAAGTTCCAGTGACATTAAGAGATCATCGTCTATTGGCACTTGTGCCATGTCATTGTCTCTTTACACTCGCTTCCATTATCGAGGGGAACCTGGACTGAACACTAGGGGATTCAGTCCTTATCTCAGGCTCCTCATAAAAGTATGTTACACCTATAATGCTATAACCTACAAAACACATTGGGGTTATCTTAAGTGTTTTAAGGTGAAATAAAATGAACTTTTAGATTCCAAACTATTGGTGTTGCACTTTTGCTTCTTCTTCACCTGCAACAGACCTGCCAGGGGTTCTAATACTTCCCTATTATCCAAAACTAGAAAAAAATGTTCTGTCTCGAGTTCCAAGTTCAAATATTCTGTCTAAGCCATAAAACAAGCAGTTGTAATGTTGACTACTTTAATATCCGGATGACTTGTTATTAAAGAGAAGGGTTAACAATAATTATTGCAGGCTCCTAATATTTTCCTCCTTTGGCCTGTGAATGCAGACGGTCAGCCATGTAAATACTTGTCATTGTTTCAGGCTGCTCGGAATGACACTTCCTGTTAATATAGATGATCTCACCAGACAAAGAAATAAAGCCACATTCTGAGAGAGAAGTTTCCTTTTCATCTTCGTCACAGTGTCGCCTGCTCGTGATTTAATGAGCGCTTTGGGAACATAAATGTCAGGCAGCTACCCCCAGCCAGCTGCCCGGAGCTCATACAGTTGAATTGTTTTTCAGAGATCGAACAAATACTTATTGTATTTAAGGTTCTGCTCGCCTTTGAGAAAGCAGCTGAGACGTGACACATTACGGTGCTTAACCTGGAATGCTAACAGGAACCCAAAAATCCAAAACCTTTTAGATATACATTACAAAGTGAACAGCTTAAAGTGTATACAAACCGGACTTCTTATTTACTCCATTTTTGTCTGTTAAATAGAACAGCGAACACATTTGGTTATATCTTAAAAAAAAAAATACCCGTTGATCCTGCCAGAAATCCAGTGAGCCTATAGCTTCCTGTGCTCTATGCTACACTCTTATACGTTAGCATTGTTTCTAGGTCTCTGTCGACTACAGAACACCTACCTCCTATGTTAAAACACTTTGGGGTTTATTTACTAAAGCTGGAGAGTCCAAAATCAGACTCCCTTCTGCATAGAAACCAATCAGCTTCTAACCTCAGCTTGTTCAATGAAGCTTTGGCAATGAAACCTGGAAGCTGATTGGTTTCTATGCAGAAGGGAGTCTGATTTTGGACTCTCCAGCTTTAGTAAATAAACCCCTTTGTGTCCTGGGCTGACAATGATGCTTCTCCATAGATACAGTGGACCGAGTGTGAATTGTCACTCTAGTACTGGAAGTGAACATTTTAGTTTTTGGCTTAGGATACATATTATGAGGATGGCTATGCCCTTACAGAGGCCTTGCATAGCAGTAATCATTAAAATGTCCCTTACTCAGACCATGTCATCCATGCATGTTCTCAGGAAGGGAGACCCAGGTTCTTCTGCACTCTCCGTCTTGTGACACAACAGTCACGTTATGCAAAGTGTAAAAGATGCCAGAACCTGCTTCTTACCATGGCCTGACTTGCTGAAAAGGAGGTCCATGTGTGGAAGCTCAGATTTGACACCTTTTTTAACTTCATGATTAGAAGCAGCCATGCACAAGGGTTTTTTTTCTTCTAAACCAAATGAATCCAGCATAGAGCTACAAGTATGGTCCAACCTAAGCCAGGATCAAAAACTGATTAGAAAAAAAAAAAAGATGTCTTCAGCTACTGAAAACAAAAGTGTTCTCTCTTGCTATGCCCAGTCAGCTCAATAAGCCCAACATGCGGTTAAATCTGTCACACAGATGTGTGGTTACTGGAAGATCCAGCTCAACAATGAGGGCTGTGTGTATGGCCAGGTAACAGGAGATACAAAGGCTGAATACAGGTGAATTTCACCCATTCACTAGAGACAGACAACGTGAGCATTGTTGGGGTAAGTGTGGGAATCTAGTTTCAGCTTTGTTGTGGGTTATTCTTGCCACTGAACAAAAAGAGAATTCTAAAATTCCAGAGATAAAGTGCCATGTAAGAGGAAGACTGAAGGAGGGGCAAGAAATGGTCTATCTCAAAGCAATGCAAAAGGATTAGGATATCTAATGGAATCTTATGATATCATATATTGGCATATAAAGAAAGAAACCACATGGTATTCATCAGTTTCTAATGGTAAAAAAAAAAGGACACGATGACTGATGGAATGGAGAGACGTATAGATGTATGTAGGTGAGTCAAAAGTCTCACCTTTGCTATGCCACATTCACACTGGCAAAACCTGGTCAAACCTGCATTTAAATGCAATTAGTGGACTTTTCTAAGCACATATAATTACATGCAATCATTTTTAATGATGCCAGTCACACTGTGCACCTACCTGCATTTAGGCGTGGTCAGTTTAGCTGCAATTAGATAAAATAGAAAGCTGTGCATCCAGGATTCAATTAGACACTAAACAAGTGTAAATGCATCTAGACCTACTTTAAAGCAGGACCATCTAAACGCAGGAAAAAGTGATCTGGCAGGCATAAAAGTTGTTTATATTTCTCAGATGACTTCTGCATTTATCTTTTGTAACTAACTGCCAGTATGAATGAAGCCAAACTCCCCACCCAGGTGCCTACTTGCTTCTTGCCCATAGCAGCAGTCTCCTGCTGCATCTATGGCCTTAGTATAGATGTCTTGTACAATGCTGCCTCAGTGCAGGTACTTTCTATAGACTTGGAAAGGGTCTTATTTCCATAGCACAGGTAAGGCTTTTTAAAGCGGAACGAAACTGTATCTGAGCTCCACGTGGAGGGTCTAATCATGATTATCAGGTAGAAAGCTGGGTTACTGTAATGAGAGGGAGTGGTAGGGGCTCCAAAAGGAAAGCAGGCCCTGGGTTTGTGCACCCAAACAGGTTTGCCAAGTTGGGTGAAGATATGGGGGTGGCAAGCTCAGGGGTGGCAGCCCTGGATGTCCCTGCTATCCCTAACAGCCGGGAGGGCAAACCATCTAGGAAGGGAGTGAGGGTAGTGCAGGAAGGCCTAGACAGCTGGTGGTAGTAGGGGATTCTATAATCAGAAGGACTGATAGAATAATTTGTCGCCAGGATCACCTCAACCGAATGGTTTGCCGTCTCCCTGGTGCCAGGGTTTGGCATGTGGAGGACTGGATTGAAAAATTACTGGGAAGGGCTGGGCATGACCCAGCTGTCTTGGTCCATGTTGGAACCAATGACAGAATACATGAAAGGTAGAGGCTCCTTAAGAATCAATTTAAAGAACTAGGCTGCAAGTTGAAGGGAAGGACCCCCAAGGTAATATTCTCTGAAATAATACCTGTGCCATGCGCAACTCAGGAAAGACGGGGAGATTAGAGAACTCAATGCATGGCTAAAGACCTAGTGTAAAAGGGAAGGATTAGGGCTGACTTTTCATTGGGGTGCAACCTATATGCTAGAGATGGTTTGCACCTAAATGGAAGGGGGTCTGCTGTGCTGGGGGAAAGGTTTATGGGAAGGCTGGAGTAGTATATAAACTAGGATCGAGGGGGGAGGGAGAATTAGATTATAATGGGGTAGACAGATCAGATAGGGATCAGTACTTATTGGTGGGTGGAATGGGGAAAGATGGGGGGAGAGATATAGCAGATAAGAAGGTTCCCATGTTACAAACAACCAGTGGAATTGGTACCATTGGTATGAAAATAACAAATATGCAAAATACGTGTGAACAAGGTGTCAATGGTTTAAAGTGTTTGTACACCAATGCCAGAAGTCTGCCAAGCAAAATAGGTGAGTTGGAAGCTTTGGTACATGAAAAGAACTATGATTTAATTGGTATTGCTGAATCTTGGCTTCATTCGTCATATGACTGGACCATTAATATTCCTGGCTACGTTCTCTTTCGGAAAGACAGTGTAAATAGGAAAGGTGGTGGTGTCTGTCTCTACGTGAGAAGTGATCTCAGAGTGTGAAAGAGCACCTAGTTAATGGGAGTGTGATGAGGCTGAAGTATTATGGGTGGAACTGCACATGGGAGTGCGTACTACAAAGGTAATCACTGCAGTTTGTTATAAGCCTCTCAGTGGTAATGAGGAGGTGGAGACTCAGCTCCTTGCACAGATCCAAAGGGCTGCAAGGGCTGGGACAGTGATAATAATGGGGGATTTTAACTACCTGGAAATTGACTGGAGAAATGGTACTGCAGGAACAGTTAAAGGGCAACATTTTTTAAACCTACTACAGGACAATTTTATGGTAAGGTTCATAGAGGCTCCAACCAGGAATGATGCTCTGCTGGACCTGGTAATCTCAAACCATGCATAGCTTATTACGAATGTCCATATAAAAGAACATCCGGGTAGCAGTAACCATAACATGATTTCATTTATTGTTAGCTGTAAACCGCAAGTACATACGGGAAAAATAAAAATGCTCACTTTTAAGACAGCTAATTTTCCAAGGCTGAGAGCTGCTCTCCGAGACTTAGACTGGGAGGGAATATTGGCATCAATGAACACAACAGAAATATGAACACAATGCAAAATATATTCCCATGGGCAACAAGTTTAAAAGGCTAAAAACCAAACCTATGTGGATTACGGCCAAAGTTAAAAAATCATTGTAGGAGAAAAGTTTGACAGCTGTGTCTTCTGATGTCACTTGGATAGTCTGGAGTAAGGAACCAGTCTTTGCAGAGGTGCCTTCATGCAGCAGTGTAACTTCCAATGTATTTGCAAATATATGTAACAAAACCCCTAATAAGTGGCTGCCATTTTACTTAGTTTAAGAGCTAGGGGAGCACGAGTTTTCTGCAACACTATAAGTCTACAGGGGACATAGAATACCTCTACCACGGCTTCCTCAAAGAAGGCAAGGGTCCTTCTTTGCAGCATGCAGGCATGGGCCAGGCTTTTATATTCAGGTTGTGGCTGCTTTTAAAAGAAAACTCACTGTAAGATATTGCACACTATTTGTTTTCATGAAACTTAAAGTGATTGCAAAGCTGTTTTTTTAAATTAAAATAACAACCATATCATACTTACCTGCTCTGTGCAATGGTATTGCAAAGAGAGGGCCCGAACTTCCTCTTCTGGGGTGCCCCACCGGCAATCCTCGCTCCTTGTCTTCTTAGTCTGCCCCCATAGCAAGCTGCTTGCTATGGGGGAGATGTGTGGGTTCAATCCCAAGCCAGGCTGTGTGCATCTATAGACACACACAGTGTGGCTTGACCCATTTCCTGCTCCCTTCTCCCTGGATTTGACTGACAGCAGTCTCCTGTGAGAAGAGAGAGAAGGGAGAAGAGTTGCTAAATACATTTACAGTGCTTGATTGAGCTCTAGCTCAGGTAAGTGCTTAGGGGTGGGACGAAGACACAGACACATGAAGGTTTTTTTTTTACCTTGATGCAACAAATGCATTAAGGTAAAAAAAAAACAAAACAAAATTCTTTTTGCCTTCAGAACCATTTTAAATGCATTTAGATAATTTAAACTGAATGTTCAGATAGACTTTAATTGCACAGGATGCGGGACCTAACCTCTATGGAAAATGGGGCTTAAAGGATCCCTTTCAAAGTACAAAAACACTGCTGAAAATTCCTTGCCAAAGAAGAGTTCTAATATTTGCCTCTCTGGCAGCCCGTGTCTCCAATCTTTCTCTGTTCCAGTGCATTAGAATCTTTGGCACTTAGCACTTCAACACTGACTCCTACTTTACTAGAGGACAAAGCAGTGATGCAGAGGTCAGAGAACAGAACCACAGCATGCAAGTGGAAGTGTTGAATGCCAGAGTCTGAAGGAAGCTTCACTGCATAAACAGAGGGAAGATAGGAGACATGGCCTCCTGGAGACATAAGTCCCACTTATATTGCAGAGACTTTTCACCAGGATTTTTTCTAACCTGGAAGGGTTGGCAAGCTTTGTTTTTAGTTTTGGATGGAGTGGGAAGGATTAGAAACCATCAGTTTTTTTTTGTGCCGTCAGTGTCCCTACTGGGAAGATTTAGCCTCTCTTTCTCTTTTAGTGACCACTGTAGTCAGGACAAATGATGAGAGAAAATCCAAAATTCTGAGTTGTTCTCAGAACATGAAGAAAGGAAATCTTCCAATAGGGCACTTGCTGAGTTGACAATTGACTAAAGCTGGCCATACATGGTTATTTTTTTTTTTCATTTAAACAGGGTTCCTCAGCGTCAATGCACAGTACAAGACCAATTTTAAATTACCTGTGGTACAAGAAATTGCACTGTCCTGGATACCCCTCCATCCCAGGAAACCATTTCCATCATGAAACCTACAAAACAGAAATATGAAATTCTGACTTAGACTCAAGCAGTTTTGACTACTTGGCAAATATTTTGTATTGGCCGTATTTGTAACCAAGTAGGTCCCATCTACAACAACAACAAAAAAAAATAAAATGCTGCCTTATCATTGGTGTCAATGGGAAGAATAGTGCCCCATTGTTGGTATCAGTGGGAGGAATAGCACCCATTCGTTGACGTCAGTGGGATAAATGCCCCATGCTTGGTTTCAGTGGAAGGATTAGTGCCTCACTATTGAACAGTGGGAGGAATTATGCCCCAATGTTGGTGTCAGCCGAAGGCATGGTGCCTCATAGTGTCAGTTGGAGGAATAGTGCCTCGTATCAGTGGCAGGAATGGTGCCCAAGGGCTGGATAAAGGCAAGCATAGGGCCGCATCCGGCCTGTGGGCCACAGTTTAGAGACCACTGGTATAGAGAACAGGCTTATTTCTCACCACCCACTGTTCTCAGTCAGATGTCTATCTGTCTGTCTAGATTTTACGTGCATGTTTGTATGTGATTGTGCAATGTGATTGTAGCTTTAACAATAATATCATGTGAAGACTTATGTAAGCCCTACAAAGTTTCTAAATCTACAAGGACATTACCACTGTAAAGCCAATGCAAAGTGTCCAAGTCACCCAGGCAGCAACATGGACACCCAATAGCCTCTCTTTTGCTACTATGAGGAACAGAGAAGACTTGGGGTTTGGCTCATCACATGACCATGAATTTAGGTAAGTAAAACAGTTTCTAGATTCTTTTTTTCCCCAACCAAAATATCAATTAGTTGGGGGGAGTCATGGCCAGGGTTCAGCTTTAACAAACAAAGCACAGACATTACGGCAGCCTCATTTGACCCAGCACATTTATCAAAGACGTGCGCAGGAAAGCTCGAGGAGCCGCGAATACTGGCAGAATGTCGCCGTCGACAAGAGACGTGAGTTTTATCAAACAGGTTATGAAAACTATCCAATGTTTTTTTTCCCATCTAAGTTAGAACGTGAATATTCAATCGGCTTGGAGCCCATGGAGCACATGCACTGATTGTACATTGGAACAATGGGATCCAGAGACGTGCGAAGAGGGGGTTGCCATAAAAAGTCAGGACCTGCCTTACCTTTGACACACTTAAACACCAGTTCGGCCCTCTTCAGACACCACGGTATAGTCATTTCCTAGATAGACAGAAGAAATGCAGTCAGGAAGTGTTTATAATATGACCATTAGGTGCTGAGGGCGTGCTGGGAATTTATACAACACGACTGTCACATATGTCAGTGCAAAGGATTTCTAACTTAACAACTCCACCTCGTGTCGGCAATGAACATTAAAAGACCCTTACTTGCTATATAAACAGAATGAGAATAAGAGGGAAAAATGTGACTGGCTGCTATGGGTAACAAGAAAGGTCCTTACTATGGGCTCATTCAATCACAAAGTGTTTCATCTACACCATCATTACACATCTCTCTCTCTCATTCTATCATTCTATCTATCTATCTATCTATCTATCTATCTATCTATCTATCTATCTATCTATCTCTTTGTTGCTCTATGTGCCTCACTCCCAATATCTACCCATCCATATCTCTATCTATAAAGGTCTCCCTCCTATCTCACAGGAGTGCCTAGGCACCCTCATATCAGGAAGTGCACTGCTATTTTTCAGAAGGAATTCAAGACAAAAAGGTACATTTAAGGGTACTGCTTATGCATAATTTTGTGATAATGTTCCTTATAGAAAACAAAACAATCTTTAGGTTTGCTGCACCAACTAAGCATCTGCAATATGGGGTTCATTCTCTGGAAATGGTAGCCTGCATTCCATGTGTGACAGCTAGCAGTGTGCACAGGTGAGTGCTGCTAGCAGTCAGGCCAGGCTGTGACTGACAGCCCTGGAACCCACTAATATTCAGGAACTAATAAGCTTGGTTCCTGATCATGCTGTCACCACCACAGATATGTCAGGACATAAAAGCCAGCTATGCAGGCTATTTTTTTAATTTGCGGTTTTAAAGAAAACAACTACATTGTTTAAACACACTCAATAATATGAGTTTTTTCTAACATTTTAAAGCCAGTAACAACCTGAATAGGGAAATTATTAGAATATTGCCCCCCCCCCCCCATAAAAGCATTGTATGTCCTTAAAAAAGTTTTTAAAAAAAAATGTTTGTTGTCGGCAAATTAGTCATAGCGTTATTGTGTTAACCAAAGGAAATCATCCCTACTAAATTCATTCTGGCCATCAAGGTATCAATGTCCCCTGGTGATGAAGGGGTTAAACTGGTTCAAGGAAATCGTCTGACAATCAGTGCCCAGCAGCCATGATATTTGTAAAGCGATATGATACAAGACTTCCGTGCCACAAGAGCCAGAAATGAAAAAGCAGTACTTTTTTCATAAAAGCGTGCCTATCGTCATAATTTATCTGCCTACACGGGACACATGCTTCCACTTCACGCTGTCAACACCGGAGTAGGCGTCTCTGACAGTGGTTTCAGCCCTGTGTTTTGGATATAACGATAACAACCGCCATCCTAAAAAGGAGACTTTTATAGCTTTTGCCCCACTCTGGTCTCACACTTTTCATGGGTGGAGGTGACCAAGTTCATGCAAAACTCTGCGAGCCATTATTAATAAGGATGGTTTCTCCTTCACATTGAGGATTTTACATAGGTAAAGTAGAACAATGCCGGGGGTGGAAGCCATAATGATTGGTCAGCTACTGGCAGGGATTTATTTTTTATTTCTTTAAATAATAATATATTAATTATTTAAGAAAGATAAAGGTGCTGGGGAACAGAGATTTTAGCAGACATCCACATAGATCAGGAGAGTTCGGATTCAGTAGGGTGATGAGGGGAGGACAGGGACTGGGGATCAGTGTGAAAAGTTTAGTCGGTGTGCCCACACCTTTCAGGGGAATAATTGGATTCCAGTCCTTTTCAGTGGCTTCCAAATGAGAGGTAACCACACGTTTATGCTAATAACGAATTCAATCTATTCCTGCAGTCATGTACAAGAACTCTACGAAGGCTGGTACACCTATGGTAAAGACAAAGTATGATACTCCACTGTTATCATGTACGTCGTAGTAAATCCAGAGGCACCAAAGATCACTAAAAACAATTTAGGGTATCATAAAGGTAGGCGACCACTACAGAGCCTGTTACCCTTCCCTGCTCTCTGCAAAACAAAATGTTTTGGATAAAGATGGGCTTTAATTTGTGGCTATGGGAAACATTTTTACCTCTTCCTCTAAAATAGAGGAACAAGGTTAAGGACAAGGTAAACGTTTAGCAATTTGGTGGTGGAGAAGTTAAAGGAGAACTCCAGCAGTCAGGTTTTTATTGCGGTCTGTTTTCCTCTTTTGGGAGATTTCTGTTATTCTCTTTATTCTGGAGACATGACAGGAAGTAAGGGAAAATCTCTTAAACATTAACCTCAGAGTGTCCCAATGCTCTGATCATTGAGGATAAATTGCTCCATGGTGTCTGCAGCTACAGAGGTCAGTGAGGATGCTTGTTTACTACTTGTCAGAAATATGTAAATGTTTGAATATCCTTACTGCAACTTAAGAACTTCTGTCACTGGGCATTGTTTTCAAGAGCTGGGTCTGCTAATTAAAACACAAACACAGCAATTGACAACAAAAGGCTGCATTCGACCTCCTTGGTCTACAGTTAAAATGATGCATCTAAACAAGCAGGGTGCAACACAAAGAAGGTCAAACAAAGCCTATCAACTACCACGTTTACTGCTTAAAACGGAGCTCCAACCAAAAGGGGAAGTTCCTCTTTTAAGACTGGTCTCCCACTCCCCATTAAGGATTGGCACCTTTGGGGAGTGTGGGGGGAGCGAGTACCTGAAACGGATTCCCAATTCCGCTGCGATTGCCTAGGCGATTGGAAGCGGAAGTTTTCCTACCCCCTTTTCTCCTCGTAGTCTTCTGGGACACGTGAGAAGTCATGGGGACCATTCAGAAAGCGCAGCGCTATTCGCACATGCGCAGTGAGCATCCAGCTGTAAAGGCGCAAGCTGCCACAGCTGGGTGCCCACACTGAAGATGCCGGCGCCAGGAACACAGGATGGCCGGTGAAACGGGCTGTGGGGCAGACACCCCAGGATTAAGGGACAGGTGAGTGGCTGTTTTTTAAAAGCCAGCAGCTACAGTTTTTGTAGCTGCTGACTTATTTTTTTACAGTTTCACTGGAACTCCGCTTTAAATAAAGCCAATGAACCTTTGCTGACTTGCTTTGACATGGATTGCAAACGCATGTCAAACTCAGCAAAACATCGCCTGTTGACATGAGCCCTAAAGATGACCTTGTAGTAAAAGACAAGGTGTGCTTATTACATAGAACCTCCTTCCCTTATCAATATTGCTGCATAAAAACAAAAAACACCTGTGAAAAAAAAAAAAAAAAAAAAAAAAAAAGCTATACTTACCTTACCCCAGCTTGTACTGATCACAGGAAGATGCTACAGCACTGTGCATGAGAGTCTTCCCATGAGATTTGGGATCCTCAGGGTTCCCAGGATCTTGGCAGAAGGATCAGTTAGGTGCAGAGGTTGAATGCTGGTGTAGGGATGTTTCTACATACTCACTGGAACAATGGGCTGTGGAGGGGGCAGGAGCCGCTGGCTCAGGCTCTCAGCAAATCCCTGAGACACTGAGCCAGGCGCCAGTCAAGACATCTTGGTGGATCCTGACTTAAAGTCGGGATCTTTCCCCAGCATGGACTGGGTGACATCAGCGGATAGTGGACATTAGCCCGCTGTTGGATGAAAACAGGTCACAGGAGTGCAGAACGAACAGCAATCCTGTGATCCACAGAAGTACAGCCAAAAGAGCTTTGGCCGTACTTCTCCTTTAAGGCCTTCCCATTACCCAATGAAAAATTCACTTTTCATATAGACTACACACAAAATACTAACATTTCTGCACTCAATAAAGAAAAATCCACTATTTTATGAGATGAACGCTAAGCAAGTGACTGAACACTAAACAGATCTGCAGAAAGGTAGACTGTCTGTGTCACCCCCTGCAACCATTCATGTGTTACCATTTATCCTCCTGAAACTGGAAAAGAAACCACTGAACTGTGATTGGCTGCTCCAGACAACGCCTCCACTTTCCTTTTCTCAGGTCCTTTATTGTAATTGCCTCCTCACAACAACGTGTGATTTGGTCAACCTCAAAAAATATCATCTGTGCGCGTCACAAAGTTCACACGACAGCTCCTGCAACTGTGTTCCTGAGAGTGTGCGGTCAGAGTGGATGTTCCGAATCAGGGCAGCCAACCGTAAACAGTACTTCAAGGGAGTAAAAAAAGCCTTCCATTAAACAGAGAGAGCATCAGGGCATCCTAGTCTGGGTCATGGAGTTCCTCCTTTGCTACGTGCATTGAACACCTCCTACACATTTTCCATACTGAACACTTTGGCTTCACACTTGCCTTTTTCATTCCTCTTTTTGGCTCGTCAGGGAAACCGATTCCAGTTGTGGTGTCAGTGGTCAAACAAGGGGCAATAAATTAAATAGCACAACACCATATGTTGTTTAGAACACTAGCATTTGCTTTATTACAGCCTGCGGCTTAACTTTATTTTCCTGCTCAAATGGTGTGCAGACTTAGCTTAGTCACAAAGATGGAGCTAGTGCAAGGAACAATTAGGAGCAAAATTATCACTCTATTAAAATCAGACTGGAAGGATCATAAAACCACAATAAACCAAAGTTTATTAAATTCCAGTCGCATGGGAATATCCCTTGTCCTTCATTTAATAACAGAATGATTAAGAAAATTTATGGCTTCATTATATGTTCTCAATTCTCGTAAATTATGTGGGAACGATGGACAGAATTTGCTCCTTTTGTTTAAGGGAAACTAAAGTCTGTTTTATTTTTGTTTTATTGGGTTTTTTTTTTACATAAACATGTTAATGTGATCAAGGATAAATTCATCTTTTGTAACATTACTATATGCTGTATATTGTTACTATACAGCACCTGCCTGCACCCCCTGTGACAGAGGTCAGGGTAACCTTTCCCCACACTTGCTGTCACAATTTAAAAACAGCACAGCTGAGCAGAGCTCTGCCACACAGCCACATCATGCATTCACAGAGGCCTGTGAATGAATGAACTGCAAATCCTGTCTACCACTGCAGCAGCAGTTATGTAGTTCCCAATGACCTTTGAGGGTGCTGGTGACTGATCTCTGAGTTCATTGACACTTACAGCACTTCAGTAACTGTCAGCATGTATGGGAGACATGGGCAGACAGATGTACTAAGTGTTTGCAGGAGCCTGACATTGCACCCACAATCCACTAATTGCGGGTCCCATGTTTTGCAGGCCGCAGTGTAAAAAAAATAAGTGCACAATTTTACCTGCAAAATCAAACACATTTATTATTTTTTTAACAAAAGGTAATTTTGCCGTGAGTGGACAAGGTGACAGGGTCTCTTAAAGGCTAAGTGACAGGTTCTTTTGCAATAAACACCCCCATTCTCACCTGCTGACACTCACCTTCTGCATGCTCTTCCCTGCTTCATCAGTATGTGTGTCCCTCTCCCAGGATGCAGTGCTCAGGCTTGATCATCCAATCACTAGGCCCAAAACACTTACCAGGAGGAGAAATACGGTAAAGCTGTACTCCAATCAGCCATATTGATATCAAGGAGTAAATGCTTGTTTAATCTAGGGGATGTTTAAAGTACAGAAATACTGACCTTATTCAATCCTCTATCAACAGCCGGTGCTATCCTCTGCTCAAGCAACATAGATGGGCCCTTAACAGCCTCAGATTTAAATGCAGGACTGCTGGTCGCACACTGTACATGGTGACATCAAAGAGGGGGCAGCTGTATGACTGGTACATAGAAGCAGCTTTGCAAGACCAGTCATACAGTGAGCAGCAGCGAGACATAAGTGTACGTATTCCTCTGCTTTAAAGAACAATTAACCTTTGCTATCCTGGACTGGGAGCACATACTACTAGTTTTTATGACTGAATGGAGTTTGGCTTTAACCCTGTATGGGCTTCAAAACCATTAGATACAAAGCACTCTGATAGAGCGCAGAGTGGCAGGGCAGCTAAAAAAAAAAGGTAACAGCAGGTGTATATCAGCATTTTTTTTTTAAAAAAAAGGAACCTGTCATTTCTTTGTCCGGAGTGGGCGAAGTGACAGTCTCTTTTAACGTAATGCATATATACACACACATAAGGCCAGATTTTCTCATTGCATAGGCAGGCTTTACTTCCTGCTTAGTAGTGCTGCAGAATAACTGTGCATTGTTCCTTTCTCTTAGTGCAATCATTTGGACATACTCTCTATAAGGCAGTCATTAAAACCCAAAAGTAGCCCAAACTTTTTATGTTTAGTTCTAGATTGGGTGTAGAAGGGTTAGAACCTCTATCAAGTCTTTTATTGCTCCCACTAGGAAGATGTACCCTCATTTCCTGTCCAGGTGAAAGGGTGTCACAGGAACATTTCCCTATAGACTGCAGTGCTGAAATTGTGTACTTGGAAGCTAGTAGGGAGCTGGCTTCTTCATTGGGGCCTATACAAAAATGTGATTTCTGCCTATAGACTGACCCATCCTGCCCACTGGATCTTCCTTCTCCAACTGCCCTTTCTCCCCCAAGCTGTATTTTTTTGTTAATACTTACCTTCGTCAGATGTCTTCAGGCTGGCCATGTAACAGACAGGGTGGGCAGTACTCTGCTATGTACAAAGCGGTGCTGATGTGATGACGTCAGAGGAGCTATCCGCATCATTGTTTGTGGATTCAGGGCACCATGGTGATGCTCTGCATTTACAGATTGTCCTAAGTCTTCCAGGTCTTAATAACACTGGGCATCCATCAACCTGGAGGACTGAGGACATTTAATAGTGGGAATGAATTACTTCGGGAACAACCCCTAACTTAAAAAAAAAATAAAATGCATATTTGTCTACCTGCAAAACATTTGTATTTATCATTTATTTGTAAAAGTGAACTTATCCTTTAATCCATTTTGATTTTTAGCACACTGAACAGGCCAAATCATAGATAATAGAATATAATAAAGTCTCATTTGTGTTGATGGACAACCATGCTTTACTCTGGCCTCTTACCTCAGACATTTCATGGACCAGCAGCAAGGGGATGTTGATGGTGGTAATATCGTGGGTGCAGCACACCTTCAAGATGTTTCTCAGGCCCATAATGGCTGGATCCCGGGCAGTTATATTCCCATTCCTCACATTGTCGTCCACACAAAGATGAAAAACCACATGACATTCAGAGAGGTTGGAGTGCCGCGTGACGTAAAATTCCCTAGTAAATGCAAAATTTCATTGGTAAGAATACATGTAAGTGAACAGTCTTATTTGCCTGCGGATTTGTCCAGCCAGATTCCCGATGTGTCACCATAGTCACTAAAACCAGTGTTCCCACTGGAAGATTTCCCTTCTATTCTTATTCAATGCGAACCCAAAATTTTCTTTTACTTTCAATTTGGATGGTAACAGTAAACAGGACAAATAGAGAGGATGAATGTCCCTAATGGGGCACAGATAGCAATAAAAAATCCTGACAGGTTTTCTAATACCTCTGCACTCCATCCAAAACAAAAAAAAAAATGACTTTAACCACTTGACGTCCGCCTGCTGTTTATAAACGGCGGCATTCCAGGGGTGGGTTGGAACACAGTGGAACACCGATCATCGGACGGGACCTCTGTACGAGGTCCTGATCATGTGATCACTGATTGGCCAATCAGTGATCACATGCAAAGTAGTAAGCAAGATATCACTTGTGACATCATTGCTTACTACATGGGAAATCTGTGAATGATCACAGAGATCACTTGGTACAAGGCTATTCACAACAGCCTTGTACCATGTGACAAGCTGTGACCAATCACAGCTCACTCAGTAGTTCTCAATGACTGCAAGAATGCAGGCAGAGAGAAAGAGAAATGATTGCTTTTACATCCTATATGGGTATAAAAGCAATCAGTGTAAAAAAAAAAAAAAAAATCTTCATTACTCTCCACAAGTAGTAAAGTGTCACCATGGTGACACTGTACTGCTAGGGTGACAGTATGTAAAAAAAAAAAACATAAATAATATAAAAAAAAAAAAAAATAAAAAAAAATGTTTAAAAAATTAAAATTATAATTTTTGGTTATAAACTAATTTGGCTTTTTTTTTTTACTAAAAAGATAACGGAATACATTTTGGCCAAAATTTATGATGAAAGATTATTTATTTGCAAAATTTTATAAGAAAACACTTTTTTTCAAAATTTTTTGACTTTTTCATTTACATAGCAAAAAAAATAAAAATCCCAGCGGTGAATAAATACCACCAAAAAAAAGCTTTATCGGTCTCAAAAAAATGGTAAAAAATTCATATGGGTACAGTGTTGCATGACCCGCGCAATTGTCATTCAAAGCGTGATAGCGCTGAAAGCTGAAAATTGCCCTGGACAGGAAGGGGGTAAAAGTGTCTGGACAGGAAGTGGTTAATGACACTTGAACCGCTTCCCACCCGACCACTGCACATAAACGGCCAGGTGGGAGCTCTCCCGTTCAGAGCTCAACGACCTCTTAGGGCCATGCACGATCCTGCGCTGTGATTGTCCCTCTCGATAATGTGATGGCTGTGTTTAACCACAGCTATCACTCAGTGTAAACAGAGACAAGTGTCTCTGTGTCAGAGCTTCCCTCTGAGCTTAGTGTGTGTGTGTGGGGGGGGGATGCTGCAGCCTGTGACAGAACACACAGATAGCAGCCATCCCCACACAGTACACCAAGCACCATCTGTCCCTGTCCAAGTGTCACACCAGCATCCGTACCAGTGCACAAAACATCAGTCACAGTGTACTATCAACATCTGTCACAGTATACCAGTGTCACATCAACATCTGTTGGCGTCCACCAGTGGGCGATCAATATCTGTCACAGTGTACAAGTGCACAAAAACATCTGTCAGTGTACTAGTGTCTCGCCAATAAATAAATAAAAATTTAAAGCGCTCCCATCCCCTTGTGCTCATGTGCAAAGGCGAATGCAACCGTTGTTTGCGTATGTATTGTTGCGAACGTTAGAGCGAGAGCAGTAATTCTAGCACCAGACCTCCTCGGTAACTCTAAACTGGTAATTCTTAAATACCATTTCACAAGCGTGACATGTTTGGTATCTGTTTACACAGCCCAACACCATATTATATATTTTACCCAAAAAATTGGGTATTATATTGTGTTTGTGTGCATTAAAATATATTAAAGTGTATTTTTGCGTTAGTGTTTAAAATTGCATTTGAAAAACAGCTACGCAAATAACGTGTGACATAAATTTTAGCAAAACCCACCATTTTATTTTCTAGGACCTCTGCTAAAAATATATAATGTTTGGGGGTTCTAAGTACTAGCAAAATACTGATTTACTTTAAGTGTCAGAAGGCGGCCTGGTCTTAAAGTGGATAAAGTCTGAAGGTTCTCCTTGGATGTTGGGCCTCTCTATGTGGCTAGGCTGTGAAAAAGTCTCACACGTGCGGTATCTCCATACTCAGGAAAAGTAGCAGATTGTGTTTTGGGGTGTAGTTGCAAGTATGCTTATGCCATGTGTGAGAAATAACTTGTTAATATGACATTTTTGTGGAAAACACACATTTCATTTAATTTCTTCATTTTTCAAAGGATTGTGGAAAAAAGTTACAACTTCAAAAAACTTGCCATGCCTCTTACTAAATACCTCAGACTGTCTATTTTCCAAAAAGGGGTCATTTGGGATATATTATATATATACAGTCAGGTCCATAAATATTGAGACATCGACACAATTCTAACATTTTTGGCTCTATACACCACCACAATGGATTTGAAATGAAACAAACAAGATATGCTTTAACTGCAGACTGTCAGCTTTAATTTGAGGGTATTTACATCCAAATCAGGTGAACGGTGTAGGAATTACAACAGTTTGCATATGTGCCTCCCACTTGTTAAGTGACCAAAAGTAATGGGACAGAATAATAATCATAAATCAAACTTTCACTTTTTAATACTTGGTTGCAAATCCTTTGCAGTCATTACAGCCTGAAGTCTGGAATGCATTGACATCACCAGACGCTAAGTTTCATCCCTGGTGATGCTCTGCCAGGCCTCTACTGCAACTGTCTTCAGTTCCTGCTTGTTCTTGGGGCATTTTCCCTTCAGTTTTATCTTCAGCAAGTGAAATGCATGCCCAATTGGATTCAGGTCAGGTGATTGACTTGGCCATTGCATAACACTCCACTTCTTTTCCTTAAAAAACTCTTTGGTTGCTTTTGCAGTATGCTTTGGGTCATTGTCCATCTGCACTGTGAAGCGGCGTCCAATGAGTTCTGAAGCATTTGGCTGAATATGAGCAGATAATATTGCCCGAAACACATCAGAATTCATCCTGCTGCTTTTGTTAGCAGTCACATCATCAATAAATACAAGAGAACCAGTTCCATTGGCAACCATACATGCCCACGCCATGACACTACCACCACCATGCTTCACTGATGAGGTTGTATGCTTAGGATCATGAGCAGTTCCTTTCCTTCTCCATACTCTTCTCTTCCCATCACTCTGGTACAAGTTGATCTTGGTCTCATCTGTCCATAGGATGTTGTTCCAGAGCTGTGAAGGCTTTTTTAGATGTCGTTTGGCAAACTCCAATCTTGCCTTCCTGTTTTTGAGGCTCACCAATGGTTTCCATCTTGTGGTGAACCCTCTGTATTCACTCTGGTGAAGTCTTTTCTTGATTGTTGACTTTGACACACATACACCTACCTCCTGGAGAGTGTTCTTAATCTGGACAACTGTTGTGAAGGGTGTTTTCTTCACCAGGGAAAGAATTCTTCGGTCATCCACCACAGTTGTTTTCCGTGGTCTTCCGGGTCTTTTGGTGTTGCTGAGCTCACCGGTGCGTTCCTTCTTTTTAAGAATGTTCCAAACAGTTGTTTTGGCCATGCCTAATGTTTTTGCTATCTCTCTAATGGGTTTGTTTTGTTTTTTCAGCCTAATGATGGCTTGCTTCACTGATAGTGACAGCTCTTTGGATCTCATCTTGAGAGTTGACAGCAACAGATTCCAAAAGCAAATAGCACGCTTGAAATGAACTCTGGACCTTTTATCTGCTAATTGTAATTGGGATAATGAGGGAATAATACACACCTGGCCATGGAACAGCTGAGAAGCCAATTGTCCCATTACTTTTGGTCCCTTAACAAGTGGGAGGCACATATGCAAACTGTTGTAATTCCTATACCTTTCACCTGATTTGGATGTAAATACCCTCAAATTAATGCTGACAGTCTGCAGTTAAAGCACATCTTGTTTGTTTCATTTCAAATCCATTGTGGTGGTGTATAGAGCCACAAATGTTAGAATTGTGTCGATGTCCCAATATTTATGGACCTGACTGTATATTATATATATCCTGGTAAGTTAGCGCCTCAAGAAATGAGACAGGCCGTCAGTACATCACGTGTGATCAATTTTCAATGATTGGTACCATGGCTTGCAGACTCTATAATGTTCACACAGGCCAAATAATATACACGGATTTGGGCTATTTTTACCAAATAAATATAGAAGTATAAAATTTTGATTAAAATTTATGAAGAACAATTTCTCATTTGCAAAATTTTATAACAGAAACTAAGAAAAACACGCTTTTCCCCAAAAAATTTGCATTCTTTTTTTGTTTATAGTGCAAAAAAAATAAAAAACCCAATCAGTGGTGATTAAATACCACCAAAAGAAATCTCTATCTGTCGAAAAAATTTAACAGTTTCATATGGGTACAGTGTGGCATGGCTGAGTAATTATCATTCAAAGTGCGACAGCACTGAAGCTGAAAATCGGCCTGGGCAGGAAGGGGGTTAAATGCCAAGAGTTCAGCTTGCGATTTAATTTAAACCTGTCCCATGACCCAATACAAAAAGCAACTGAGCAAGGCATACACTTACCTGGTAATAAATTAGACTGGTTCCTCTCATTGCTTTTTAATTTATCACGTGTTTCATTCTCACTGGTGGTGTCTGTAACAAAGTTTAACATTACTTTTTCTTTCTTTAGACAAAAATGATTGCTTCAATCACAGAGGTAAATATGAGAAAAAAGTAAAAATGAAAATAAAATAAGTTTTTAATCATAGACAAAATATGACCAACAGGAAGAAACTAGAAAACACAAATGTAGTAAGTCAAAATAAGATACACAAAGCAAAATCAACATATAAAAAAACATGGAAAATGATGTGTGGCAAGCTCAGAGCCCAACCCATATTTCAGTTTACCACCCTGATCACACCGATCAGACTTTGAAATCATGCGACTTCCAGTGAAGTCTCATGATTTCAAAGTTGGATGTCAATCTGACTTGATGTGCGACTTGCAAGACATCTATGGCTGACAAGACACAGATGTCTATGCAAGTTGCACATGAAGTAGTGCATGCACTACTTTACATATTGTTGCGGCTCTGACAAAGTCGGAATTGCACCGATATGACCGCTTTAATTACAGATAATAGGGTGCAACTTGCCATGCGATTTGCAACTCGCATAACATGACAAATTGCATGGCAAGTCGCACTCAGTGTGACTGGGGTGTACAGCAGCTACATTCCAGGTGAATCAAAACAAAGTCTTGCAAGATCATATGTTGTAAAGCGCTGTGTAAATTGTCGGCACTATATAAAACTTGTATAATAATAATAATAACCCCTGCTGATTGGAGAGCTGTAGGTTTGACTCAGTAAGGGTAGTGCCAGACCTCTGCAGAGGTTATTCTACTCAGGATAAATAAAGGGTTAATTAATTAAAATTATTCAAGTGGTAAAATAGAAGGGATCTAATGGTTAATGATTGGTCGTGGTGGCAGCTTCCCTAATTTACCAACCCTCCCATCTACATGGGGCAAACACTGGAGGATTCTGGGAAGCAGTCCATGCCACAATACCTGCAATTCTTAGCTGACACCAGGAAAAAAAAAGGAGAAGCTTGCTATTTTTCACTGTCAGTTGAGTACCTGCACTTACCTTTTCCATTTCTCAAGCCTTTGAACATACTGGTACCTTTACAATTTGCTGCATATACAAATAATCCAGTCTAGGATAGACTAACCCATATGGAAGAGAAATATATTTTAAAAATATTCTTCCCAAATATATTGCCATATATTTGAAATGCTACAATTGTGGCCATATTCAATATATTTCAATAAATATATAGATATACACACACACACATACACATATATACATACACTGCATGTTGAAATGTGTTTCTATCACAAAATATGTTTTTTAAAAATATATTCTTAAGATTTTTTTAACATATAAAAAAGTAGTTTTGAAATATATTTTTACATATATTTGTAAATGCATTCCAAAAATGTAGATTTGTATTTTTATTTTTAAAGACATACAGTACATATATATATTTATTGAACTATATTTTGAAATATATTGAATATGGCCAAAATTGTAGCATTTCAAATATATGGCAATGTATTTGGGAAGAATATTTTTAAAATATGTCTTTTTTCCATGTGGGAAACAGTGCTGTTATGTATATGTGCATTTTTACTTTCTGCCTAAACCCAGAAGTTAAACCCTCAACAACAAGGAAAAGTGGGATCTAGGGGGACAGACTGGAGCAGAGTTTTTGTCTACTAATTATGCCCCACCGAGTTGTCCATAAACTGAAAATTTCAAAGTTAGCATCAGTTTCTGTAACCGTCATCAAAAGGAAAAGGCTGCATGAAGGGTTGACCAGTCCTCAAAAAGTAGCAGTACTTTGAAAAATCTTTTTGTCTTGGATTCCTCCTGAAAAATAACAGTACAGGGGGGATATTCACTATAACTGGTTCACTCAGAATCTGGTGCAGCTGTGCAGTGTAGCCAATCAGCTTCTAACCTCAGCTTGTTCAAGTAAGCTTTGGCAATAAAACCTGGAAGCTGGTTGGTTTCTATGCAGAAGTGCACCAGATTTTTCACTCTCCAGCTTTAGTAAATAAACTCCGCGGTGCCTAGACCTTCCTATGTCTTGAACTTCATAGCTGTATATCTGCAGTGTGAGATCATCTAAAGCACTGTTGTCCTACCAGATTTGGAGAGAGATTGGTTTTATCACAACTGTACTGCCCACTCTTCTCCTTGCCGGAGAGAAAACTGTACTTGAGAACCTGCAATACACTTCATTCTGTGGATCTGTCCAACTAATATTTAATCGGTCATCAGACCACCAGTTAGGAAGGGGGCAGCTCTGACATGAGGAAAGCCCTGCCCGTGCAAAAGGCACTGTGCAGAACTAGAAAAGGTAAGCCAGTAATGGGGAAGTGATCATCTGCAGGAAGACCATGGGCAATACTGGTGACTAGTTCTTTGTCCATGCAAGGTAAAGTTTCAGTGTTTCTGCAAAGAGCATCCCCTGACCCCCCTAATACTTACCTTCATCTGTGCTCCCTCACTGCTCCTTTCTCCTCCACAGTCCAGACTGAAGATGTGCACTCTTTTATTAAACTACCATTTGGGGAATTACCAAAGTACACAGAGATAAAATAATATTATTATATATCATATGCATTGGCCTCTGCCTGCAGATCTCATCCAACACACTGCATCCATTTTAGATGCCTGTAGTGTTCAGAACACATGATCTTGGCCATTATTAAGTACCTGTCATCAGCCTGCATTGAATCTCTGGAAGAAGTAAATGTATGCAATAGCCAGTCCAGAAACACAATCCCCTAGAGAATGACCTAATTCCCATCACAGGCCCTGTGATGTCTCCTAGCCACAGACAAGTGAGTTTTAAGCCTAGATCTGTCTTCATATCAGAAAACAAGATGCCACAGCATCCCTGATATACTTGAAAAGCTATCAGCGGATGAGTAAAAGGGTCACTCTATATGAGGAGAAGGCTGATAGAGTTACTTGCTGGGAGGATTGTTGGCACCCGCAACATACTCTTTATAATCCTTAACGGTGCACAAAACACCCCAGGGTGCATTTGGAAGAACTGTATTTTTGAGAAGTGGGGTAAGGTTACGGATAGAAGCCCGGATTATCCCTGAGGTATGGGGCTGCTGAGGAGGTTGTCGCAGGTCATGGACTAAAGGAGGACACTGAGAAAACAGCAAGCATCTCAACTATTTATGGGGAAGGGGGGGAATCCTGCCCAGTAAGCAAGACTACAAAAGTCTCAGGAATAACATTTGAAGGTGAGTGATTACCTTAGGCTATTCATAACCCAAACCTAGACTGACAATGGGGACTTGTTTGTGAAGGTGCAGGAAAGAGGCACAGAAAACATATCAAGCGTCACATGCTCTACAGGGGTCCGAGCCTTAAATCTACCACCTCCACAATAGCACTTCCAAGTCTATCTACACCCAAAAACAAAATGTAATATATTGCAGCTTACCAGTTCTTAGATGTGGCGGCTGCATTTGTTTTGCAAAATTTTTTTTTTTTTTTTTCCTTTATTTTTCTCCTTGCGATACTACAAATAACACTTCCTGCCCCTTCATGTCTACACTTACAGTGGATATAAAAAGTCTACACACCCCTGCTAAAATGTCAGGTTTCTGTGATGTAAAAAAATTAGACAATGATAAATCATTTCAGAACTTTTTCCACCTTCTTTAATGCGACCTATAAACTGTACAACTCAACTGAAAAACAAACTGAAATCTTTTTTTTGGGGGGGGGGGGAAATAAACATAAAAAACTAAAATAATGTGGTTGCATAAGTGTGCCCACCCTCTTATAACTGGGGATGTAGCTGTGTTCAGAATTAAACAATCACATTCAAAATCATGTTAAATAGCAGTCAGTACACACCTGCCATCGTTTAAAGTGTCTCTGATTAACCCCAAATAAAGTTCAGCTGTTCTAGTAGATCTTTCCTGACATTTTCTTAGTCGCATCCTACAGAAAAAGCCATGGTCCGCAGAGAGCTTCCAAAGCATCAAAGGGATCTCATTGTTAAAAGGTATCAGTCAGGAGAAGGGTACAAAAGAATTTCCAAGGCATTAGATATACCATGGAGCACAGTCATCATCAAGTGGAGAAAATATGGCGCAAAAGTGAAATTACCAAGAACTGGACGTCCCTCCAAAATGTATGAAGAGACAAGAAGAAAACTGGTCTGGGAGGCTGCCAAGAGGCCTACAGCAACATTAAAGGAGCTGCACGAAAATCTGGCAAGCACTGGCTGTGTGGTACATGTGGCAACAATCTCCCGTATTCTTCATATGTCTGGGCTATGGGGTAGAGTGGCAAGACGGAAGCCTTTTTTTACGAAGAAAAACATCCAAGCTCGGCTAAAATTTGCAAAAACACATCTGAAGTCTCCCAAAAGCATGTGTGAAAATGTGTTATGGTCTGATGAAACCAAGGTTGATTGAACTTTTTGGCCGAAATTCCAAAAGATATGTTTGGAGCAAAAACAACACTGCACATCACTAAAAGAACACCATACACACAGTGAAGCATGGTGGTGACAGCATCATGCTCTGGGGCTGTTTTTCTTCAGCTGGAACTGGGGCCTTAATCAAGGTAGATGGAATTATGAACAGTTCCAAATACCAGTCAATATTGGCACAAAACCTTCAGGATTCTGCTAGAAAGCTGAACATGAAGAGGAACTTCATCTTTCAGCATGACAACGACCCAAAGCATACATCCAAATCAACAAAGGAATGGCTTCACCAGACGAAGATTAAAGTTTTGGAATAGCCCGGCCAGAGCCCAGACCTGAATACGATGGAAAATCTGTGGGGTGATCTGCAGAGGGCTGTGCACAGGAGATGCCCCACAATCTGACAGATTTGGAGTATTTTTACAAGGAAGAGTGGGCAAATATTGCCAAGTCATGATGTGCCATGCTGATACCCAAAAAGACTGAGTGCTGGAATAAAATCAAAAGGTGCTTCAACCATGTATTAGTTTAAAGGTGTGCACACTTATGCTTTTTACTTCCCTCCACCTAAAAGATTTCAGTTTGCTGTTCAGCGGAGTTGTACAGTTTATA